TCCTGTCTAGAGAAAGCCCTGCACGCATTAACAAGAAACTTCTCCTGCAGGAAACTTCTGATTCAATAGCTACCTAAAACAGTGCTCATTTACAGCAAAAAATAAAGAGCAGAAAACAGAAAAATGCCCTCTGATGTTCCAATCACAGATAGAGATTCCAGTGTCAGTAGAATCAGAGCTAACCAGGGGGGTCAGCACCAGACCTGCAATGAATGCACTCACCCAAATCTCTGCTAAAACAACAAAACCTGAGCTGCCCATCTGAACAGAGGGGTGAAGCACAGCTACACCTGCCCAGCCTGGTGGGCAGGCCGAGGCCTATCAGCTCACACTGCACACAGACCTTGATTCCCTAGGCAACTCAAGAGGAACTCAAGTTCATTACATCTTCACATTGCATTTTCAATCTATGAATCGTACTCCTCACTGCTGCAACTCTCGCAGCAGGAAACACAGCACCCAGAAGTAGTAAAAAAAAAAAAAAAAAAAAAAAAAAAAAGGAAATCAGGTTTTGTTTAGTTGCTTTCGGGGTGGGATTCATTTTGAAGCCTCACGCCCAGCTGTGCCATCACGATGTACTGACTCAGCACTGCCCTCTATTCTACAGAGAACCACGATTCCAGCCTCAACTCTGCCACACACTAGCTGCACATCACAAGATATATAGATACACTTGTCCAGTATCACAGCATTTAAATTTGAGCAGTCCAGGCCCCTTATAGACTTTCAAAGTGAAATACATGTTGCGGGAGGAGAATTACCACTGTACTTCAAACCCTCATGGTTTATGAGGTCAGCATAATGGATGTATTAATTTACAGCCTTTTTTTTTTTTCCTTGGTGTAGGAGCTATTAATATTCTACATATATTTACTTCTGCAGATGGTGGTTTAATCAATACAGTACCTTGGGCAACACGAAAGCAATGTAAGGACTGTCAGCTCCAGGGAGCTGATGCTTATGGCAGGGCTCAGCCTCTTACCACAGCCTTGCAGAACTACCTAGAAGGCAACAGAGTCAGCTGAGGGAAGAGAAGAAAACACAAAGTCTGCACCTGTAGAGCTAAACCAGCCCACTAGCACTAGGGAAAGCAGAGAGATGATAAGACTCAGATTGGCCTAAATCCTAAAGCCTGTGGAAGAGCTCTGCTGAGCCCATAAAGATTCTGAACCTGGGGACTCAGTTCTCTGGGGGGGGTGGGAAAGAAAAGCACAAGCTGCTGCTGAGACCGCTAAGGGCGCACCAGCACACAGCAGTGGCAGCACGAGCTGCACCTGGCTCTGGCTCGCCTCTTGCTGGCTGACACCCAGAGCAAACATTGCGGCCCAGGTCACGGCCTCTGGTGTGCTTGAGGCGTCTGTGCCGATGATCACAAGTCTCCTCTGCAGCGTCAGACACAAAAGGAGGACATTTCATACAATCAGATTAAAAGAGATGAGAAAACTCCATTCTCACCCACACCAACTTCTAAACTCGCTCACTGCACTAAGATCATAGGAGAGGTTTCCAATTCACAGCAGCCTATGCAAGAGCATTATTAAGCCCAGAGATTAGATGCTTTGCTTCTTTGATAGTTATACCAAAGCTTGCTCCCCGAGCAGCTTTTGTAGAAACACTATTAAAAATGGAGAGAAAGACGGTTCAAAGAGAGGTCTCAATCCTGAAATACAGCACATCCCTCCTCTCCCCCTCCCACGCTCTTCCCTCCTTCCATAGCATTCCTCAGGGCTGCTGAAGGAGGTGCTCAGCACAGGTTTTAGACTGGGCTGCCATCTGCATGCTGAAACGTTCCCTGCTTTTGTAGTGAAGCCGCTTTTACTGTCTTAAACTTGCCTGGGAGCACACAGAAGACAGACTCACAAGCATCAGCCGGACTGAGTTTCAGTCTGCTCCTGCGTACCTTTACACCCCTGCAATATCCACAAAACATTTCCACTGCTCACAGCAGATCCTGTCACTTCTGCACATCAAAGGAGCGGGCAGCAGGAGAACACAGCTCCACATGCAGTGTGCCTGGAATTTCGTTCCTTGATCTCATTCATGGCCACATGCTTCCTTAACTAATACATAATGCTCAAAGCAGACAGAATTACCAAAAAAAAAAAAAAAGACAACATACCAGCTGTTACACTTCTTAGAAAACACACTTTTACTCGTTCCAGAGAAGTGAGACGGAGCACTTTGCTCTGCCATCAGCAGAAGGCAAGTTGCTTTCATTGCTTCGTGCTACCTTAGAGAGATGAACACATTCCTGGTGCGAGTTTCTGTCCCTTACACAACCAGAGGCCATCTTTACCTGTACACATTGTGCCAGGCTTGTAGGTGAGAAAATAAACAGTTAGTTGACACACAAACACCGCCACCCCCTCAAGTTTGAGAACTACGAGAAACTCTCTAGAAAACAGCATTCCTTTCAGTTGTGAAACCTTGGGAACAGTGTGGTACTGTAATGAAGCAGGACAAAAATCAAATTGAAATATTTATTTTCTGTACCCTGGAATTACTCTGTCAAATAGATATCCTCATTAATTTAACAGTTATATATAGTGGTGGGAGGAGGAGTTTGGGGAAATCCCTCTTCCTGCAGTGCTTTTTCTGTAGAAGGAGGCCAGAAGGAAAAGGACCAGCCAAATATGCACACATAACTGCAGAAGTTTCTCAGATGCAGCCTCTCCCCTAACAGCACGGCACCGTGCACAGCACAGCTTCTGCCCTTCTATCCCAGGGGATCTCACCCAGGCCAAACACCAGCTGCTCAGAGGTGCTGGAAGAAACCCTGCCCCATAAACACAAGCAGCACGAGTCTCATTATTTGCAGCAAGGGCAAGGTCTTTCCCTTTGTTTTCCTTTCAAGGCTGTTTAAAGGAAGATTTATCCTTAGTCAGACACCTTGAAAAGCAAATGGCCTCTTGAAGTGCCTCCTTATTTTGTGATAGAGTTTAAACGCTCACTTCCAGCATTAAAGACCTTCTGACAAATAGGGGAGGCACGCACTAAAAGAAGAAAGGAGAGAAGTCCCAGACAGGTCCTTAAGGCTATTTAATACTTGTTTGGGGTTTAGCATTCCTGGATACTTTCAGCTTGAGCCCGTTTGAAGCGAGAGATTACTCACAGCCCAAACGTACTGGAGATCAGGGAACGCCTATACTTCAGAATCGCTTTCCGTGCAGTGACCACGAACACAAGCGCTGAGCCGCCCCTGGGACACACGCAGGTGCAGCCCTGAGCCCCAGCCCTGCCTGCAGCCCACGGGAACCGCCGCTCCACAGGTCAGTGCTGCTCCTTCCCCACCTCCAGTCCTGCAGCACATCTCAACCCAGGACGCAGGAATAGAAAAGACCTTCTTTCCCCCCAAATACAGCACAGAAGGCAGCATTCTCTGTAGCTTCAAAGTGATAACGGTAGCACGTATCCCCTATCCCCCTCTCTCCAAGAAACAGCTCCGTGCAGTCAGGGAACGAACTGCCCCGCATGTGCAAACAAACCAAAGCTTTTTCACGGGACCGGAGAGCCCCACCGGGATGCCTGCACTGCTCCTGTGGAGCAAAACATCTGAGGGGTGCCGGCCCGGCACGCAGCGGCCGTCCTGCCCTGCATACGTGTCCCTTCCACGGAGAGCCGGAGCCAACAGCTGCACACACGCTCTTCAACCCTTAGTGATTTTAGTTCGCACGGAGCAGCAAGGCGCGATGCTCGGATTTCTAACGCTTTAAACCTTTCCGCTAACGTTCCTCAGCACAAACGACAGCCCGTGGCCGGCAGGCACGGCCGCACCCGCCCTCGCCTCCTGCTGCCGAGCGCAGCCTTTCGGCCCGGACCGCCACGCACCGGGAAACCCCTCCGCGCAGCTGCCCGCCCCGCAGCGCTCTGCCCCGCTCACCTCCCGCCGCCCTCCAGCTCTCTCGGCCCCTCTTCGCGCTGACTTCCCCGCGGAGCAGCGAGGCCGGGCTGCGGCACCGCTTCAGCCGGGCTGCGGTTCCCGAGGCGCGGGGCTCCGAGACGCACCGGCGCTCCTCCAGCCGCGGGGCGACCGCGGACGCCCACCCGCGGCGCTGCCACACCGGGGCTTTCTTCCTCACATCACCTGCGAGCGCTGCCCGGCACGCGCGCCGTTCCGCCGCGCTGACACCGATCGCCGAACGATTCGGAACGAACCTCTTGCGAGTTCCCAGATACCGCGCAAGCAAAGGGGAGCTCCGCGGGGACCTCCGGAGCCTGGCAAGCAAGAAGGACGACCCGCGGCGAGGCCCCCGTCCGCCCGTCCCTCCCGCAGCCCACGCCAGCCCCGCGGTGCGGCCACAGCCCGCCGCTTCTCACAGCCCGGCACGGCGCGCCCCGCGGAACGGACCCAACTTCGGGCGCTGACGCAGCGGGGCCGCCCGGAGCAGCGCCGTAACTTTGTAGAACTGCGTTCCGATATCGTCTCCCACCCGCAACTTCGCGTTCCTTGAGAAGTAGCGGGGCGGAGCGCAGCGCTCGGGCACGCGTACCGGGCTGTGCCGTGCGGGGCTGCGCCCCTCGATCCCGTCCCCCTCAGCCCCGTCCCGTGGCGGCCGCGACCCCCAACTTTTTTTTTCCCTGAAGGAAAGCAGAAACCGCCGCGGTCCGCGCGCTCACCTCTCGGCTACGTCTCCATGCCGGCGCGCCCCGTCCCACGCCGCGGGATGCGGGCGCTGCGGCGGAGCGCCACACGCGGGCGGTGAGGGCGCGCGGCGCTGCTCTGAGCGGAGCTGGACGGCGCTGCCCGCGCGCCCACGGCTCCGCACCCGGCAGGTGCGCCCGCCCCGCGCCGCGAGTCGCAGCGCCACCTGGCGGCCGCACGGAGACACGACCGCGGGAGCAGCGGCAGCGGGAACCGCATCCGGCCGGACCCCGGAGCGGCAGGAACGGGCAGCCGGCAGCGCGGCAACCGGCAATGTCAGAGCCGGGAAACCGCTCCTCTCTGCGCACAGGGCTGCGCCATGCATGCAGGGCTATGCTAGGAGACGTCGTCTTTTTACCTGTAACGCAAACGGCGGCGTTTTTAGGCGCTCCTCCGCCTGTAGCCATCCTCTTGGACTCGAGGAGGAGTTCGGGACAACGCACCTGCTGTGTGCGCTCTGAGAATCGAGGCCCTTCCCACCGCTGGGTGTCCTGACGCACAGCAGAAGAGCAAAAGGACGGCAGCGCAGATCGATAAAGCCGCCCCGTGTCTGTGCCTGGTCGCAGCTTTTCGCCGACGAGGAACTGGTAGGATGTGGGTGCAGCCCTCGCTTCCCCCGGCTCCTGCGCTGCTCCTGCCGGGACTGCAGCATCAAACGCTGTCAAATTGTTCATCAATTTGCCTACTCGAGTCGCTTTGTAGCTGAATTATGAGATGAAAGCCTTGAAATCAAACATCCCACGGACTTTGAATTACACTTACGCGGAGTTGTATTTCACAACACCATTGATTTGAAATGAACAGATAAAGCAGTATCAGCAGACATACTTCAGCCTTTATAGTAAGTCAGAAAAAGGTGATTATCATGCTACACTATGAGAATGTAGACATTATTCATAAAAATGAGGTGGGTATGCCACAGACCGATTCTGTACAAAGCTTATTTGTTCCCCTTGCTCTGGTCACACCTCATGCACCATCACAGTAACGAGGCCCATCTGGCCTTCATCTGTGCCATTATTTCCTTACAGTGTGTTATGAAGCAGTGAAGGGACTCCAGCTGATGTTGCAGGCGCTCTGTGTGTTGCAAGCACAGAGAAAGAGCAGAGGAGAATGCAGCTGACACACTGATAAAAGCAAGGGAGAGAGATTTCTCAGTCAGTGCTGTCCGTATCGGCAAGAGATGCCCATGGAGATGGATTAACATGGGTGGTATCAAGCAGTGAGTCTGGGTGAGCCAGGCACTCACTGCATCACCTCAAACCCCACTGTGCTCCCACCTGTCGGTTCATTAGATCTCTCCACTCCTTCCACTAAACCAAATTATCCTGTGATGTGTTTCCAGAGTTTGGATCCAATGTCACAGAATTCAGAGGAAAAGACTCGTGTCATTAGTGATAGGACCAGGGGGAATGGCTTCAAGCTACGGCAGGGGAGATTCAGGCTGGACATGAGGAAGTATTACTTTTCAGAAAGGGTAGTCAGGCACTGGAACGGACTGCCCAGGGAGGTGGTGGAGTCACCAAGCCTGGGGGTGTTCAAGGAAAGACTGGATGTTGTATTGAGGGACATGGTTTAGTAGGAGCTATTGGGAATAGGTGAACGGTTGGACTGGATGATCTTTTAGGTCTTTTCCAACCTTGGTGATTCTATGATTCTATGATTCTATGACTCTTTCCCACAGACTTCAGTTAGGTTTGGAAGAGGCCCCAGACGCACTTTCTTGATCTAATTTAAATCACTGTATGCACGGATTCCCCCAGATCGCTCACACTCAGCAGTGCCCCAGCACTCCTCTGGCTGCCACCAGCAGCAGTTCTCTCCCAGCACTCATTTCTCACCCACCAGGGGTTGATGGCTCTGCCTGCTGATCTCCCTGCTGCAGCATCCTGCCTCAGTCACACCAGTGGTTTAACTTCTGCTATTTAAAGCCAAACACAGAGCTCACAATGAGAAGCTTGTTTTCCAGAGCTGGAGAGCAGGGCGATTTGGGGATTTGACATTGCCCCAAAAAGCATCAGCAGGGTGAGCAGGAGACCCCCAGTCCTGCTGTTAGGCTCTGCTTCTGCATCTGTGTGATTCTGACATGTTTCTTGCCTGAATAGGAAGATGACAGGGTGAGAGAATTTATGGCTGCACAAAGTCCCATTAATTGACTTTGTGTCTTCTGTCAGCACAGACTGCAGTCTGATCTTTGGGAGCTACAGCCATGCATGGTCACCCAGTGTGTGCTCACACTGCTGCATAGAACAGACCATGCCACCGTGCAATGGCCACAGTTCAAGTTCACCCCTACAAAAGCACCACTACCCTTCCCCAGCAATTCCCCAGCATTTGGGCAGTGACACCAAGCTGATGGGTGACCCCACTGCAGTCAGGCCACACAATCAGCCCTTCCAAGTGCAGGTGACAGGGACAGACCCTTAGGGCACAGACACCCACCCCGTGCCCTGCCCACCTGTGCTGCTGCCCAGGGCTGCTCTGCCAGCAGCATCCACGTGGCTGGAGCAGAGAGGCGGAAGCACTGCTGCGATGGATGCGAGATGCTGAGGCTGCAACAGCAGATCACGGGAAGGAGCTCAGCACAGAGAGACTTGGCAACGCTGCCTATCCCTGGGATAAAAGCCAAAGCCAAAGCAAGCTTGTTGTGAGAGGAACGAGGAGGGCATCAGTGGGTGGATGAGACCGGATGAAGGATTCAGTGCAGAGGGTGTAAACAGACAAGGGGAGAACCCTGCCTGGCTGTGGCAACACGGTTCTGATCACTGCTTGTCAGGAGATAAAAACAGGGCTGTGCTGTAACATTTCCAGTTCAGCTCTGCTGAGAGTGAGGTTTAATAGGGTGCCAATTCCCTGTGGTTGGAGGGACTCACCCAGTAACGTCGCTGCTGCTGTCTGAAGTCGCACGCAGTATAAAGTAGCAGTAAATGCTGCTTCAAAACTTCCAAAATCATTTTGTATCTGACATTCTTCCTGCATTATTCCAAGAGAAAGATAACCGCAAGGTAATCTTCCACGTAGTAATCATATTTGGTACCAACAATACTCACAAGTAGTTAAGTATGGAATAGGATAACTTTCCTGCTTTTATGCTTGAAGGCTGAAGATGAGATTATGAAGCACTTCGCATGTAAGAGGAGTAACTGCTTTGTGTAAGTATATGGATTAGAAAATAAGAATTCCCTTCTCCAAAGAATAACGTGACAGGTTTACAGCACAGGTAACATCTTCATGCAGCAGGCACGGCATGATGTAGTCAGAGCATACTGGCTATCCACCCGCCTCTCTTGACCGGCCAACAGCAGAAATAGAAGCACTGCCTGGGATTAATTAAGATCAGACAAAGCCTAACTTCGCCTTAATCCAGCCAGCAGCCAAGAAGCTTGTTAGTAGAACTGCTCAGATGGAGCTTTTTTTTCATGTGCAGAAGAGTTTGTTGAGAGGGAGAGCAAAATCCACCAACAGACAGTGGAAATGCTTTCACTGCCCGTCGGGAATATCTCAGACAAGACAAAGACAAATGCCTCCTTTGTCTGTTTCACTTTCACTTTGCAGGGAGAACCAATAATCAATTAGGAAAAAGCGGGAGAGGAGTAGAAATAATTACCACGCGGTGACATGCAAACTCTCTTTGCAGCCCTCCAGGCTGGACGCAGCCACACAGGCAATCAGCAAGCAGCAAGAACACCCTACAGCAGAGAGAAGCCCTCCATCAGCCCCTCGCTTCTCCTGCTGTCATCCCCTCTCAGCTGTGAGATAAAAACAGAGGTAAAAAGCAGAATGCAAGTTGTGCTCTTTCTAACCTCCTGTGGGACTTCGGGATGCTCATCAGCACTGCATTCACTTGTATTCCACAGATCATTCTTCTTTGGCAGCATCTTATTGTAATTGCAGAAATCCCACTGCAATACAGAGTTTGGCAAACTCATCTCAGAACAACTCATTTGGTGCAAGCTTAGATTATATTTTAACTTCAATGATAAGAAATTACTGAGAAGATGACAAGCACAGTTAGTTTTAGATGCCACAAGCTGAGGAAGAAGAGGTAAGTTACCTACAACGATCTCATCATATTTTGCAACTTTTTCCTCATAAAATGCAAATTTCTGCAAGTGGATGGTTTGAAAATCCTCATTTAAAAAATAAAAAGGAAATAAAACCTAGAAATCAACAAGTACTGGTGCTGAGCTTTATGTTTTTCTATTACATATTTTCTTTCCCATCTCCTTTTTCTTTTTTTTTTTGCTGGTGCTTCTAGAAAAGAAGAAATTAAGAGGCGCTTTGTTTCCTTTTCTGTGTTTGCAGCAAATAAAAGTTTTAAATTGGGCCATAAAAATCTTCCCCTTTTGCAGTTCTGTTCTGCTCAGATTATCACATCTAAGGCCACAGAACAGAGCAAATCATAGCAATGAAGAGAAGGGGTATAACAAATGGACTGATGGCAAAAAAAACAAATTACTTCTCTGGACAGAAGCTCTGTATTTGGGGTAGCTTAGATTCAGTTGAACAATGGATTTTCCAGGTCAGTCGGCAAAAGGAAAAGAAAAATGTTTCAGATCAAAATGAAATGGAGTTTCAGAGCAGGGGAGGAACGTGGTGAAAATAACCATAATCAACCTCCAGCCTCGTTTACGTCTGCATTCACGGGTAGAGAAATCTTACATCGGGCCTAACTGCCCACGTCAGACCATAAGGAAGCATCTCCTTCTCAAGTTGACCAGCGCCATTACTGAAATGTAAAGTTCAAGGTTAAATGGTATATGACAGTCCGAGTCTCTGATGCTTCCCAAAAAGATAACTGGCCTTCAAATGAAGCCAGAGCCAGGGCTAGCCTGCCATGCAGGGGAGTAGCAGCAAACAAAGCAAAAGCATGCCAAAGTCATTTTTCCATTCTTACCTTTAATACATGGCAATAAACACATTTGTGTTTATTATCAAGACATTTGTGTTCAAGCTTTTTCATCCTCTGTTTCATCCATGCAGCTATTCTAAGGGCACGAATTCCCCTCTCCCAGGACATCTGTGAAGAGAAGCATTTATGGATTCAAAGACTGCACGGTGGCTTTAGAACCAGCACTTTGGAGTGCTGTTTTGTTCCAGTCTGCCTAAGCCAGTCCTGCCCTCCAAGCTGTCAGTGAGTTCATTTCCTCAACAGCAGTGAATGTAACCAAAGACAAAAACACAAAACGAGTCAGTGAAACTGGAGTCACGAAACTGGAGCTAATGACTTCAAAACACCTCTGATTGCCAGCGCTTCTGGCTTGTGATAACATGGTAATAGTCTAAAATTGGCTTCAATTTCTCTAGGAAATGGCTCGGTGTGTTTCAGATGTGAAGGTTTCTCACCTGTGCAGAAAATGCCAGTACTTGTAAATATCAAACGCAGTAGCGCTACACCCTGTGTTAATGGGAACAGAACATCCACGCTGACACCCCTTGATTAATTCCTCTGTTGAGTATTAATATTCCCTGGCAGAAAGCAGGCAGAGGCCAAGTGCGGAGCTACGTCTGTGACACACAGGCGCAGATGGCCGTGCTCTCCAGCCTCCACCTCCCTCTGATGGCCACGGAGCTGCTCCATCAGACTGCTCGCAGCCACAGGCATCTTTATTAGCTCTAAAATATAGAAGTCACTATTTGGAAATCGCTGAACAGCAGCAGTTGCCTGAGCTGAGCAGACATATGTCAGTTGTCCTGGAATTTAAGTAACCAGAGCTTTGGAGCATGCACATTGCAGGCAGCCTTAGCTCAAGCAGCAGAACCATGGCACTGACTCCAGGCAACCCGTATAATGTGAAGTAATACCCTCTGCAGTGCAAATTCCATGTCCCAAAACTTCCTGAGGAGGGAATGCATCCCAGGAGTCAGGAAAAGGGGTGGAGAAAACAGGGAGCTCTTTGCTGAGCTGGGGAACAACATGAGGAGAAGTCAAAGCAGTTGCCTAAAATGGTGGTAACAAATGTGACAAAAACTGGAATGCGGAGCACAGTGTGCATCCCGGGGAGAAATGCCAGTCAGCATCTCCTGTGACCAGGAGAGGGGGAGCAGATGCACACTGGGTGTAAAAGTGTTGGGAGGATGCCAGTGGTCAGCATATCAGAGAGCCCTGGGCTCATTAGGAGCCTGCAGGCGCTGCCCCAAAACACCCCACACCATGCAACGAACCCAGCAACACATCTCTGCAGGGCTGCAGCTGCGGCCAGGCACTGAGCTCTGCAAACACTGCATCAAACATGAGAGTGTCTGAGGGCAGGTGGGAACAGGGGCAGGAAAAGGAAGCACGGTAATTTAGACATGCTGTGAGAAAGGCTCCTTTTAAAGACTGCTGCAGCACCACATTCAATAGCAGCAGCCTGACTTAAAAGCAACAGACGATTGACAGCTTTCTGAAATATATTTCTAGTCCAATTTGCTTCCTAAATCCTCGCTTCAAATCCCTGGACAAGGTGCCCAAGAATGGCAATGCCGTGTCTGTTGGGGGTACCTCAGAGGTCACTGTCATTTCTCCATTTCTGAGAGAGAAACTGTGACAGGGCCGTGGTCTCTGCAGAGGTCTGAGGGCACTGACTCATGGCCTTCCCTGGAACCATCAGCACCAGGAGAAATATTGGAAATAACACAGCGCAGTGAAAAGGGAAGACGATGAGTAAGCAAACAGCAGTGACAGTTCCACTGCTCCCCTCCTACACCTTGCCATTCCTCTACCTTATTGTCACTGCAAATCCATCACTACTCAGACAGCAAAAGTAATCCACTAAGGGCAGCAAACACGATATCTGAAGTTCCCAAAATTTCTCAGATCAAGGTTTATTAAAAGTAAAAATTGTAGAGTAAGAACGTTGCTGAATCAACGTCCCAGGCACTCAATCAGACTGAATTATGTCTCTGTCCTTAAAATATACACTGGATAACAGTTTTAAACGGCCCCTGTAAAAGCCACTGTGTGTGCCTTGACATTAAGTCTACAGGAAAGTACCTGCCTTCAGGATTTTCCCCATTTATAGGTCTTTTGTTCTGCTTCAAACTAATCAAAGTAGCTCTCCTGGATGTAAAATGGAAAAAAAGAAAAAAGCTAATACATGATTTACTGCCAGCCGCCCAACGAGCAAAAGGGCACACACCCATCACTGCAGGTAGGCAACTGCAAGAGGAAGAAGAATGATTCAGAGCAGCAAAGGAATGCAGGGTGTAGGCTGGGCAGGGAGCTGCACGAGATGGCTCATGGCTGCGAGTGTGTGCAAGGCCAGCCCAACACCAGGGAGGTTGTCAGAGGATTGCAATGAGACTACAGTGTACTCACATACAGGAGATGCCATTAGCTTTGAAGAACCACTTATTTATCCCTTTCAGCAAAGCGGTGGGCCCTGATCTCATAAAGCACACAGATACGTGCTCAGCTGCTTCTGTTGGCAGATCAGACAGAGCACTTGGTCCCAGCTCTGCCTAGGGGCACCAAGGTCTCCTACACAGGCAGGACTCCTCTTTACACCCAGACAGGGTGGACTCTGAGCCCACAGTAAAGAAAAGCACCCTGCACAGTTTTTATCTGCTACTGCACTGCTGACAACAGGGCAGAATGCTGACAGAAGTTGGCAACAGTCAGGTCTATCAATTTCTAGCGCCTCACAGTAGGTTCACTTATTTCTTCCCACAGGAGTATGGGATGCAGATCCTCCTGTGCACTGGGAATCACCTTGTTTCTGCTGCAATTGCTGCTCCTGCCATCACCACACACACCACAGATGATAATAGGTAGTGCAAATTTTCCCTTCTTACCTTTTGAAGGGAACCTGCGTTTTCTATGTGTCCCTTGTGGACTGCTGCCCTTGGGGCTCCTTGTTCAGCCTGGCTGCAACACAAGAGCTTCAAAAATTAGCACAGGTTTTTTCTGATTCTAAAGGTTTTACTTACAATTGCCCCAAGACTTTGACCAGAGCTCACGTTTCACTGATCAATTCCCTTACGAATTTCTCCACTTACTGGCAATTCTGCACACCTACAGCACAGCCTGTTCCCTCTCCTTTCTTCTCATTTTTGGGCAGGCAGAAAACAGTTTGCTTTTGCCTGTAACACAAAGATCTCTTCAATTTTACTGCTAAGAAGTTTCATTCCTGGCAGATTATTGGCTAAGCCCAACAGCTGACCACTTGTCCACTTGCAGTATGCAGTCACTGCAGAGGCAGGCCTCTTCTGAATGAAGTTGCCTTTGGGGACCACAGAGATGCTTCGGCAAATAACAGAACCTCTGGGCCTTACTGTGCTGCTGTGGGACAGGAGTAACTATTCTGTTAGCAGCTGCACCTCTGGCATTTATGAAAGTGAAGATTCAAGCCACTGGGACAGCAATGAGAGAAGCAGGAAAAATGAAATCTGCCTATAGAAGAGCACCCAGGAGCCACAACAGGGCAGCTGTGAGCTCAGAGGATGGAACTGCTGAAGCACCCTTTCACATTGCCCAGGAACAGCACCGCAGATTCACATGCATTTGCTTTCCAGTCCATCCTCCTGCAGTAAGCCTAGAGGACAAGCTAGGAGCTCAGACTCCTGAGAGAACATAGCTTTGGCCCCATGCATGTCATCTCATGTTTTTCAGTAGGAAATTTATCTTGCACATATTTAATTAATGGAAACAGGGATAAACAAGCAGATTGCTTACTTCAATTATGTGCACAGCGCCTGCAGGGTTACCATTTAAAAATCACAAAGAAAGTAAACACTCAAAATGGGTAGAAAGCTGCAAAGAGGAATATACAATCCGCAGCTTACCTTGATGATGACTAACAACATCTCTGCACTGAGAATGAGGCTATACTTAGCAAATGAGTATAATTCAAAATTTTTCAGCCATCTGTAAATAACATTTACCTGGAGCAGCTTTACATAATTAAATGACTCACTTATTAGCGTTGCATAGACCCATCTGCATAGAGAAAACAAAGGCAGGGAAAGAAAGAATCAGAAGCTCTCCATCATTTATTTAAATTTCTCCCAAAGGCAATTTCTCCAGAAATTCCCAAATTCCATGAAGTCAAACATCTGCTTTGTTCACAGCATAACACGCTGAAAGCAGCATTACCTGGACAAACAACTCTCTCTCTAAGCAGCTTAGCAAGTTTGTGTAAGTGCTTGAGCTGCTGTAACGAGGCAAGAAAGTCACTCCATATCCTATTTAAAAAGGTAAATAACGTCCATGTTAGTCTGAGTCCCTCTGCACTTTGCACTGCAAAGAAAACACTTTGGTCATTTCTGTTTCCTTCTTCACTCAATAGATGCCCATGCTCAGAGCTAAGCAGAACTGGATGCCACACTGGGCATTTCTGATTCCTCATTTATTTTCCTGAGCACTTGTGGGAGTATTTTCCCCTTACAAATGGAAGAAGAAAAAAAAATTTAAAAAAAAATCATTAAAAAAAAAAAAAACCACTGTAAATTTCTGTTCAGAGATCTCTGTGGGACTGAAGAAGTCTTGCTGCCGAAATTTAGTTGTAAAATACTCCTCTAACGCAGCTGTATTTTCCCACTCGGCGTAAGCTGGAAGAATCAAGTTCCTGTCTGGTTTACACATACATTTCAGCCATTGAATCAGAAGACCCCAGAGGAACAAGATTCAGTTTCATTGGATCTCCCAAACCCTCTCTGAGAAATGGAGCTTTCTGTTGCACCACGTGCCCAGGCACTCTATGATGCTGTGCAGCGATTTGTGACCGCTGTCTCAAATTTAATTGTATTAATGAGATGAAGCTAAATGAACTGCTGCCTTACAGATTATTTGCATGTAACACAGAGGTGTTACACGACTGGAAATAATTAAGTACCAAACACTACAGAGGCTAAATTCACCAGATGTGCCAATGGTTCTGACACCCACTACAAAACACATCCCAGAAGAGAGGAATAAGGTCTATGCAACATTCAGTCAGAATGTGCAGCCCTTCTTACACACTAACTGCTACTTTAGCAACAGAACAGGTATGGGACCAGAGATTTCTGACCTGTGAGCAGCTCACACCAAGCTGGAGATGTCAGTGACCCCCTAGAGAGCACCAGGCTCCTGACTGCAGTTGCTTGCCACACAGGGCAGCCAGCTGTCCAGGTCTCACACTGATAGTCCATGTCACTGAACACACAAAAATCATCATCTAAAGGGACTTACAGCTGAAACAATGGTTCTGCCTAAATGAATACTGCTATCTATTGAACAGAGCCAGCACTAACGTAACTGAGACCAGAATCTGGTCCTGGGTTTATAGGAGCTGACACAAACCACATCAAGTAACTCGACCTACTTTAGTTCATTAACATGAAACTCATCTCTGTTTGCCAGGCTAGCACTAACGCTATCCAGTTCTTCCAGCTCCAGAGCCGCAGGTACCTCCCAGTGCTGTCAGATAACTAGATGATACGCACGACTGAAATCCCCACAGATAAGATCAAGCGTGCAAAAGAGATGTAATCGACTTTAGAACAAAGTTAAATTTGCAGTCATTATCCTGCTTGCACTAATTTCTAAAGGTAAAAAATGGCATGCATTAAATACTGCCATCACTTTCTTTCTGGTGATGAGAATCTTCTAGCAAGTCCTAGAAAGCAAAAAATAAACATCAAGTGCAGTGACTATCATAAAAGCAAAACAGCTCCTAATGCAGTACATTTTGCTTTCAGGAAAGATTTTCCGATCAGCTCCTTCCCAACACAGGGTGAACTTTAGCAACTCCACCATGCGAGCAGAACAAAAGGAAAGGCAGCTCCTCGCTTTTTTGTTTGTTTGTTGTTGGTTTTTTTTTTTTTTGCCTCAGGAATCAAAATTTCATCATCTATATCCCAAATACAAACAACCTAATACAGCTCCCATCTAATGGTGGGTATCTCCTCTGATGAAAAGAGTATGGCAACTTCTACATCAGAAGAAGACTGTGAGCTTGCTTTCTCAAACTAGCTGATTCCAAGGAAAAACCTGGAAACAAATTATTTAGAATCCAGCCTTTCTGAACCTACAAAGCAATTTCAGTCTTATCAACTTTCACCCAGCTTAGCACCTCTTCTTCCCATGCGTACAAAGACAAACAGTTTGGAAAGCTAGATGTTCTGCTTGGTGTAGCCTTCACTTTATGTTCTATACGGTTTTTTGAAGGAAGATGCTTGCTTCTGCACCTGAAGCAAAGCTTCCTCTTTTCTTTCTACTAACATTGCTTTTAAATGAACTGAATGGATTTAAATAACGCACCGTGTAAAATCCTGACCACTTCTGTTTGTCTGTGCACCTCCTAACAACACAGGATCTTGTAGAAGCAAGGCCTACAAGGTTAAGTTTTGCACAGAGTATAAAAAGAATCCATTTGTCCACTTCAAGTTTGTCGCCTGCGAGTTTCATTCTGCATCCCTTTAGCATGCTGAAAATACACACAGTGAGGAATAACCCCACTAACCCTCTCCGTGCTGTTCATTATTACACATCCTTCTGTCATAGCCCTGTTCATTAGCCTGCTCTAAGAATTAAGTGGGGTTTATCTTGCTTAATACTGTCTCAAATGACAGTCCCCCTCTGTTTGTAATTATTTCAGCTGACTCTTCTGGTCCCTTTCACTCTCTGCTCTAGACTTCTTTGAAAGATGATTTTGCAACTATTTCTTCAGCTACAAAGAAGCATCAATAAGAGGATCTGAAACTGCAACATGGTATGCAGGGAGGCTCCTGTGTTATTAATATTTATTTCATGCTGGTGTCTAGAGGCATCAGCTGAGGCAGAGCCCTGTGTGATAAGCTGCACAGCCATGTAGTACATGACAGTCCTGGCTCAGAGGACTGCATCGTGAAGGCTGCAGGGATCTCAGACGGAGAATTCATACTGCAAGTTTACTTGTCTAATGCAAACTCATTGCCTTTCAACTTCCCAGCAGACACAGCCTCTGTTCAGTGAGGATGTGCTGCATGTTTGATAATGAGAGCACTTACCTTTCATCCCCAACAAAGGGAAGCAGTCCCTGCTGTCCCACACAACCTTTACAGCGAAGCTGCAAACAAATCCTTCATGACACCTACACGTGGTCAAAAACAGCACTAGGCCATCATATTCCAAAGAATGATGGCACTGACAACAGCAAGGAACAGAAAAGCCTGGGGCTTCTGAGACAAATCTGCCCTCTGAGCAGACATGGAGAAGACGCTGACCCCAAACTTGCATGTAGCAGTCACTTGAAAGTCTGAAGCATTTCAGAGACCAAAATCACTTCAACCCAGGCAGAATGCATTAGGCATTACACAGCCTGCTTCCAGAGCACACCAGTGTTGCTGATGTAGTAAGGGAGAAAGCATTTCAGGGGCATCAAGCAGATAAATAAAATGCTTTTGAAAGTGAACAAAGTCACCTAAAATGCCTTGAACACAACCATGCAGTCTTCATTCTGCTGCTTTCTGTTCACACTAGCAGTGTACAAGTGCCAGGACAAGCTATGCCCGTACCTAGGCTCAGCCCTTTCCTCCCACCCAGCAGACAGCTGCTCTGCATTTCTCCAGCCACCTCCTCCAAAACAAGCCCTTTCCCCTGTGCCGCAGGGGCTGCCTCCTGCTCAGCTTTCTGCTCTAAGCCAGAGCCTGCAAGCACCCCTGGAAGTACACAGGCATGTTCACTTCCTTGCACTTCTCTGCTGGGAGCAGTTTGCTGTGAAATGTGTTTTACCACAGGAAAACAGAATGCTTGCTTATGGGCGTGAAGGTGGCTCTGCACAGCTCTGATCACTGTGTATGCGACCCTTCCAGCAGGGTAAAGAGCAAGGTGGAGAAGAGCACCTGGAAGAAAACAGCTTCAGCAGCGAGCACTCAGTCCCACGGGCTCTTTCATCCTTTGAGTACATACAGGTGAACATAAAAGCAGCCAGAGCGAATGAGCAAAAAGGGCAGTCGAGGAGTTCCTTGAGGAGGTGTTGCAGGATGGCAGACAGTCTTTGACTTTCTTTGCTTTTCCCTAATAAAGAGCTAACACTGGAACTAGTCACCCAAGTTGCAAGCAAGAGCATTTTTACTAGCACCCACCTTTGCTTCCACTGTTGATTTCAAGAAACAAAACAGGGGCCCAATGACCATCCAGGCATAATCATAACAGAGGGTTCAGAGGATGGAGCACTGACTTCCAGCACAGACAGGAGGGCAGAGGACCCAGGCACGATGGCTCAGTAATACCTCCTGGTGAAAATTTCAGCAACTCTGAAAAGTTACCAGAAAAAGTGAACTTTCATAAAAGCTGCAATCACAGTTGTTTCATTGGCCTGTTACTCTTCAGATACCAACAAGAGGAAGAAATCCCAGTGCTAAAATTGCTCAGAGCAGTTCTGAAGGCTCCACCCAAGCTGCTCAGGCTCTCAGTGTGGTTCACCACACTGTACCTGCTCCAAATCCCTTCTGCTTCCCCAGGGTCTCTGCAGTGCTCAGGCAGAACCACCACAAGCTCAGATCTAACACCTGATTTCCTTCAAAAAAGAAAAGGTTTTATCTCCCCTGCTATATAGGTCAGCTATCCACAACAACACCCAAGTTTACACATTCCTCTTCATCGCCTTCTAATTCTCTTTGTGATTTGGGGCAGGTCAGTCTCCCTCACCCCTAGCATTACACCAAGGGCACATTTTTGAATGTGACATAGCACGTGGGTTCCTAATGTCTGACCAGAAATGGAGCACACGCAGTCACAAAGCTGCAGTTCATCATTCCTGCAATGTTTCAAGGTCAACAGAGCTTAATGTGATTTTAATACAATTGCTCAATTATAAACTTGTCTGATTTTTGGCCTTGCACGTGCATTTCCCATGGCACAGCCAAGCCAATCAGATATCATCAAAAGCAGTAGCAGAGGAGTATATTTATTAGATATTCTGAAGTGGAACATAAACTTTAAAAATCTCAGCTTACTGCAGAAGAAAGTAAAGATGGAAAAACTATTGAACAGAAGAACGCCTGTGCCGTAAATAAGACACAGCACTGCAGTTAATTCTCTTTTAGAACAAATGCATTAAACATTTATTACACCAAATGTTAGTTTAAAACAATCATTAAAATCCGTTTTCTCTCTGTCCACTGGAGATGGGTTATTCATTTGAAGTTGATGAAGCTTCCCTAATTTCAACATCATTATTTCTATGGGCACATAACAGGAGCCGTTATATTTTAGATTCATGTAGTAATGTTGCCCAATTTCTTTCTCACACTTTGCAGCTCCTGTTGCAAGCCTTTGTACTGAATAGGAATATTTCACTTAAAAATGAGTCTCTTAATGACCCCTGTCTGGAAATACAAGCACAGCATGTGCGAGAGGCAGAAGTCAGCTCAGGGTAACGCACGCAGCCTGATGAGTTAAACAAAGAGTCTGAAAAGAAGAAATGAGCTGAAATGATCTGTCTCACAAATAACCATTTGCCATAGGTTTTTTGCACTTTATTCTTTGCTAGGCTATTTATCCCCTTCCTAGCTGAAAACAAGGGCCCGCATGTTTTGCCAGCCCTGTGTCAGCACCCAGCAAATCCCAGTGGAGCTGGAGGATCTCCATGCTGTTGGGCATTGAGCAGCCCCGTACTGCGGCGCTGTGCAAGAACTGGGCATGGGCCAGGCGGGCTCAGGCACTGCTCTCTGCTGCTGCCCACTGTGGGACCGACTCCCCTTCTGATGTTCTACAGAGGCCACTCATCAGAGGATGAACAGCCTCCGATGCGTTCCTCATCAAGGGAAAGTAGGGATCACATCTTAGTTAATAATGAATGCTGAAAAGGGCAACTTTAGCTTCTAAAATACATTAATTGACAGTAATTAACATGTGGATCTTGTCAGATTAGGACTAAGAAAATTGCTGCCATCTACTGCTGGAAAGAAATACGTGAATGCTGAAAGCCTCTTCCAAAAACAGGCTACGAACTGAAGGGAAGTGTAATTCAAGGGCATCTCAAGCCCTGGGAAGGGAGATTGTCATACATGAGAAGGACAGGACCCTGCAGCCAGAGGTCAGACTTTCAGGCTGGACAGATAAAGCTCTTCCTTCTCTGTGAACGAACACTTCTTATCCATAAAGGAGAGAAACAGGGAGGCTGCTAAGCACCTTCTACACTATGCTCTGTGCAAAGCTGTACTTAAATAAATCCTCAGGTGTCCCAACAACTCACAGTTGTGACATACAAGCACATTTTATCAAAGGGATAATTATTTAAACCTTGAGAAAACCTTTTATTTTGGATCCTCCATTCGTTTAAAATTTAGGAGCTACTTTTCTCTCTACTCCGAGTACATTCAGCTGTACTCATCACAGTAACTCCAATGAGCTGGAGCAGATGAGGCAGTCATCTCTCCACCTCTCTGGTTTGGGACAGGTCAGCCCAGTGTCAGGGATTTGTAGATTCAGCGTTCAACAGAAACTCTAATCTACAATGCAAGCAGGTGTCCTGCTGAGAAAATGCAGGGTGGAAAAATAAGTCTTAGAAAGGGAGTATGGAAAGGTCTGAAACGGGTTTGTATTCAGTCAAAGCTCTGAGGGCTCAGCAAGAGTCTGCAAAGCAGAATTCCCAAGTCTTGTTCCCAGTCCCTGCACCCATCAGGTGTGCTCATGCTTCCTCTTAGGCAGGGTCACTCCAGCAATGTTTTGCTTCAACAGTGCATTTTTCCATCCAAAACATCTGCTTTGGGGACAGAGAAATACCTCTGTTACACAGTGAGATCCATGCAGCAGGTCCAAGCCCTTTACATGGACCATTGTTTTCTCTGTGCTTTTCCCAGGACTGTTCATCTAGCAGGTGTTACCTGCTATATTCTGCCTTGGGTGAGCTCCACTAGATTTAATGTTCCCCTCTTTGCCTCACACCATTCTGCAGAGAGCACAGCAGCATGTTTCCACTATCCTCTGCAGCAACCACAGCCTTTGCTGAGCCACACATTGAGCGCATGGCTGACACAAAGCGTCTTTGACAGCAGTGTTCACAAAGGCCTTCAAGTCTTGGTCCCACAGAAAAAAAAAAAAAAGAAGAAGAAAAACAACAAAACAACGCCTGCTGTGTTCAGACCAGCTCTGCAGTGTCTGCAGAGCAACTGCTGCTATTCAGCTCCATCGTGAGGGCAGAGATGCCACCAGTCCTCAGAGCACGTGATTCCACTGGGACTTTCAAGGAGGGAACAGGCTGACAGAAAGGGACGAGAGCAGATCAGACCTGCCTCAACTACAAAACATTTTCCATTGCCTCTTACTTCTCAGAACTTTGTCGTGGACACAAAGCAGCTGAGAAGCAGCACTTAGATCTTTGCTGAGACCTCAGTGCAGCAGTAATTAGAAGGGTGAAAAGCAGTAATTTTCCTGAGTAGTTCGCTCTCTCCTGTACACACATCATGCTTAGCACATCGATTTATCAGCAATTAAAGCCTGCTCTTTAATCTCCAACACTTTCATTATATAGCTGGTAGTCAGAAGTATCTGAAATGCCTGAAGTAGTCCCTCCATTCCCCAGCCTCAGCGGCAAAAAAAAGGTTGGAAGTAGAAAGACTGTATCCTCAAGGTTAAGCAAAACCACACTCAGAAACAAGACACCCTCCTCAACCTGGCACGTTCTTCTGGCCCCTCTCATCCCAGCTCCTGCAGGCACACGGCAATGGCTGGCACACAAGTGGCAGGCAGCAGCTGGTGTTTGCACGGAGGCACAAGCAGCCTCTCCCCTCCCAAGCGCAGCACCCAGCCATGGGCACCGCAGCACCAAGAGCCCATGCTGCCTGCTGCCCCCAGGCACGGCGCTGTGCATCGCAGCACCATCCTGCTGCAGCTGTGGACAAAGACAGAAAGGCTTACTTGTAAAATCCTGACAGAACCGGGTGCCTGAATAATGCTTTCCCAGGAGGAGGAAACAGCAGAAGGTGGGTGTTTCATCCTAGAAAATGGCGAGCAGTCTTTCAGTCTCATGGAAATCAGCCTAAACAGAAGCATTTATCTCGGGTTATCCCACGAGGAGCACTTCAGCTGTACTATCCAGTGAAGAACATCTGTACAATATTTGCCTGCCAGGAAAAAAGTCTCTACTGCACTTTCCCAAAAGGAAAACTTTGATAGCCTTTCACTGACAGAAGTAATAATTATCCACATAGGAGCATACCATTAGAGCTCCCTTGACAAAGATTTATTTATTTATATGTCTGTGCCCTGGAAGAAAACAGATGATGAATGAAGCACTTTATTTTGCTAACAGAGCTGCAGAGAAAGAGAAAGGGAAAAAGTCACAGGGCAAATAGAACACCTGAAGGAGCAACTCTCACAGCAAGGCAAGCAGAGCACAAGAGAGACGCTGCCAGGTGCAACTGCAGTGCTGAGGTGAGCACCTCACGGCAAAGACAACCTTCTCATCAGATGCATGGCTGTCACTGCCCTCACTGCCTCCAGTCTGATGGCACTGGGCCTCCTTTGGCAGCCAGAGCCTTGGAGGAGTGTGCAAAGGCAGGAGGAGAACAAAAGAGAGACTTGCAGTTAGCAGTTATTTTCCTGGCTCTGCTGTAGTGTTCTTCCCACTGTTCTCCCTTTCAAGAGATCTTAAGAAGCTGACAGAGGGAGGACACACAGTGTCAAATATTACACGCGGAACGCGGCTTAACGTGCTCATTAGTCTGCAAACAGGAGAACACCGCAGCTAGTCACAAGGTACCACTGTGGTGAAAAGAAAGCAAACACTGATTTCTCTTAAAATGTTTTTGAATCAAGTCCTCTAGTCCTGCAGCTTTTATAAAAAGACAGTATTGCTGTTAGAGGTTCCACATAAATGAACATGAGCCCTTCTTTGTTCCGCAGCTTCCCCTGATGGCTGCCCCTCCCAGCATTCGTCAGCTCTGTTAGGCATTCTCCTCGGTGAGAGATGAGCACAGCCAAGCACTGAGGCAGCAGCCCTGCAGAAAGTAAGGATCTCGAGGTCTGCACCTCACTGACCTGCAGCCTGGAGCCCTGATTCTAGCATCCATACTGTGCACTGCCTTATCCAGGACAACGACCTCTGATGGGAGCAGTGCCTAAATGAGCAGAACCAGCTTGAGATTTCCATAAGAATAGGAAAACAATACTTGGCAGAATGTCTCATGGCTCCACTGCATCAGTTCTTTCTTTGATTCCCACTAACAGTCTTGTCAAATGAGTATAGATTTATTATTGTAATTATCTCAAGCTTGTAGAGATTCAAACATCTGTTATAGG